TTGTGTGTGTGTGTGTGTGTGTGTGTGTGTGTGTGTGGAGATTTTGCACCATTAGTTGATGTCATTTAGTGGTCTCCATTTCCTTATTTGTTCAACAGATACTAGAAGTCAGTGTACTTACATGTAATGTAAACAAAAATATTGTACACTAAATAGAAAGATGTAATAGGACGTTCAATGAGAATACAAAAACAGTGTCAAATTCAGCAATATACGAAAATATTATGGGATAAAAATTACAGTCTAAATGAACACAGTATGTAAATGATTTTCACCAATTTGTAAGAAATCAAGGTTAATGGAAGTACACAGTTTATTTATTTTGATTTGGGATAGAAAGAAAATATATTTGAAAACAACAGACACACAACATGCCATAGTTCATTACAATCAGGAATTATGCCATAAGGTAAAATAGACAGTAATAAAAAAATTACTGTGCAAGATGGGTGATGAAAGTTTAACAAAAAATATTTAACTTGGGGCCAGAACAAGGGTAAAAATATCTTTGTAAATCTTCAGTGATGTTCCTTTCTCTTTCAAATCTCTTAAAAGTGCCAATCTCATACTTGAATCTCTTGTTGCAGTAAATTTATTTATAAATGATACAACCCTTCATCTCAAATCTTATTTTTTAGACTAAGGGACTTCAACAGTCCATATCAGCTTCTTTTTATTTTTTATTATAAACCTCATTATACTTCATTTTTTATTTGAATTTGATAATTTCAAAGTTTTATAAGCAGGGGTAGATTGGGAGCCTAAAACAACCCAGGTAAATAATCAAAAATCAGGATGACACACACACATATATATATGTAGAGAGTGAGAGAGATGTACAGTAAGTTAGTCAGTAGCACTGAGACAGTATAACCAGATTAGCATCCCGCTGGCCCAGGCATCAGCAGCCCACCAGGAATTTGCCCAGTGTCTCAATCCACCCGTTTGTAAGCTACACATATAATATTTACCATCAATTAAATATCCTACCTGTTTATTTTCTAAAAGCATTAAATTGAAAAAGAAATATATTTCTTTTCAACTATTTTGATTGAACTAAACATGAAGCTTTAAAAACAGCTGTTTCAAGAAATAAGATTTCTTAATTAAAACTGGAATAACAAGTTTATTTATGATACAATAGGTTTCAACAAAAACAAATGCTTTTCATTACATAACTAAATTCTAGTAAACTATATACATATCCAAGTATCTCATCACTAACAGTGGTCATACTAACAAGTCTTATAACAAAACGTATGGACATCAAGACCCATTTGGTTCTTCAAGGGTGTCTTTGCACATCCATCCTTGAGAAAAGTAAAAATTTAAGCCCACCCTTTGCTTCTCTGGAAATCATCGATTCCCTTCTGCAAGCAACTCATTCCCCAAGTCAATCACATGATTAGAAAAATAAAACTGTCTTGACTAGGAATTAGCCTGTCTTTTCCAAATTTTAAACTTCACTCCTCTTGTCCTTTTATCTTCAAAATAAGAGCATAAAGAAATCAGTCCTCTATCCTATAAATCCTCTGAAAACTTTTGTAATCTTCAATAAAGATCATCTCTTATCTTTTACCCTTGTTTTCTCAAAAGAAAATAAGAGAGCTTACCCTATCTCTGTAATATGACCAAACCTAAATCATCCTACTGGCTCTTCTCTGAACTTTTTCCAGTAAGTCAATGTCCTTTCTTAGATAAGGAGACCCAACCTGTACACAGCATGTCGAGTGAAGGCTAACTAGTAATTTGTAGACATGTATATGTATATATATATATATATATATATATAATTACCCTATTTGACTTGTAATCAATGTCTATAAATACAGTAAAATTCTATTAGCTTTAATACTAGCAACAAAGTACTGCTCCAATGGTTTAAGTGACTTATCAACTGCAATACCAAGACCTTTTTCTTCAGTTATACTATTACACAGTTTCACATCTGTATTAAATGTGTGATTCTGATTAATGATAACCCAAGTGTATTACCTTGCATTTACTATAATTTAAACTAATTTGTCAAGTATTTGTACTTACCAATCAATTCAAGTAATTCTATAATACCTGAACACCCTCAATACACCTAGAAGTAAATTTTTTACTAATTGTGCCCTTATCATTGATGTAAATAAGAATGAGCAAAATCTTAAGCATTGATCTTTGAGGTACTCCACTAGCAACATTTTAGGTCCAGTTTGACTGGACTCTGTTAATAACCTATTAATAATAAATAATCTAAATACACCAAATCCATATCCTATTCTTCATTCAGCTTTAATTAAAGCATTTGATTCATTTGTTTTTGTGTTATCAATAAAACTATGTTTCAAATCTTTCTTTTTTGTTGATGCTTTTAAAACAATAGAATTAGCATGTATGCAATCTTACATAGCTATGCTTAAAAGAATGCATAAAAATGTATCAGGGGATACAAGAAACTTTATGTTGGATTCACACTAGCTTTTAAAACATTAGCTCAGAAGCACCATTTTCCTAAAAATAACAGGTATACAGAATACAAATACGAAGAGAAAACATAAATGTGAGAATAAGACAATCATGCTGTAGAACATAAAACATATATGCTGAAATATAAAAATATGGCAAGATTATGATGCTGAAAAAATGTTAAAATTAGTTTACCCTATCGATTGCGGCTGCTCTAAATGCACGCAGAATTTCTGCAAGCTGTACACCATGTATGGCACACTTGCATTCAACTGCCGGTGGCAGGCTGTACCCTATATGGGGAATGAGCATTCAATGGGTTAAGGAACCACCACATAAATGCAATAGAAATACATCACAGTTACGCATAACACTATAAGATTGTGCACACACTACTTATAACATATAGTTCAATGTGTCAACATTGTGTCTGTAAGTGACACTTTAAATATTTGTACCTTCAGGGACATAAATGTTTAACTGATTGAATAGCCATGCCCTGGAGAGACTTGTGTAGAGCAGATCATGGAAAAAATAGGTTCAACTAAGTGCAACCCCAACTAACAGACATCTGTTTTATCAAATTATATTCAGATCATGGAAAAAATAGGTTCAGCTAAGTGCAACCCCAACTAACAGACATCTGTTTTATCAAATTATATTACTGCAAAATTAGAAAATAAAATGAGAGCACTGAAACATTTAATTCTACTTATAATCTACAAAAATCATTTAGTATTACATTTATGATATGAACATATTTTGTACAGGCTACATAAAAAAAAGAGAGAGAGATTTTGACTTACTTCCACCTATAACATTAAAATGGATGCCAATTAAAAAAAACAAAAATTAAGATGCTTCAACTAAAGATGTACAATATGCCCATAAAAAGATATGTGCAACAAAGGTTTCAAAAAGATATTAGAAAAACAATTATAACAAGCATAGCTGAGAAACCTATAGGAACCATATAACTAGTAGGGAAAATTATAGAAATCAATATACTATCACATCTTAATAAGACCCACACACACATTTGAGCTAGTTATTTATAGTATCTTTATAAGCTGACTTTCATACAGTTTTTAAAGAAAGAAACAAATTTCAATTAAGCAATTTCAATCAAATTTTTTTTCAATGTTTCTATTTAATTCTTTTCATTTATCCCTGGTTGCTTTTCATTTTACCCATTCACTTTTTAATATGACCCCTGTACAATGGTACATCTACTACTAGATTAAACCACACTTGCTATAAATTATGAAACTCCAAAGTTACCATAAGTAGTCAAAATTATCATACTTACCAAAAAACAAAAGTAAAGTTGACTGTGAATATGATGGCAGCAGAAATTTTCTGTTTTCCTGACTAACGTTAGTTTCTTGTGTAGTGTTCCTATTATAGGTTAGTAGTAAACTGTAATACTTTCTAATAGGTTATGTATTTGGGATATATTTTAATAATACAAATTATAATGCACAACCTTCATGTTTTGTTGTATCCTATTAGTATTACTACTACTAGTTTATGAAAGAACTTGAAACATATGTATTGCATATAAATTATGATGTACAACCTTCTTCACGGTTTTGTTATGCCATATTAGTATATATAATACTGCAACATCTGTATCGTATGGTTAGGTTAGAAACTTAGTTATCAATGTACAAATCAGTACTAATATTATTAACACGTGATAGTGATACAAATTATCAAGGTAGAAAAATCAGAAAAATATAACGGTTAACCAAACCATCCATAATTTCTATAAAGTAAAATACGTATAAGCTATCACTTAAGTTTTTGCATGCTTTTAAAACCTATAACTATAAGTAGAACTTAGAAGTAGTTTACGTAAATTATTAATACTAATAGTAGTACTTACTAAGTACAGCATCTTCATTACTATAAAAGTATAAACTAATGTATAAGTATAAATTTTAAAGTTTAACACAAGTAATCTATAATTTAACATACATGTGATATGGTATTTTCAAACATCCAAAACATTTTTAAGTTAGTTTTCTAACTTATATACCGGTCTCATTTCATACTTAAGGCACTAATAGTAATATTAGTTACGGTAACTTTATAACAGTCAGTTTTTAGTAATATATAAATCGTAACATTGGTAATTAGAAAATGTAGGCTTAACGATCCTTATACGTGTCTATCTTTATACACGAGATTTCACGAGAAAATTTACAGATTTATTTACATTTTACAACTGCAATTCGTAATTCTTCAAATTATTTTCAATTATAATTAAAATTTAACACTACTAGTTTTAAAATTTAGAATTTATTCCTGAAAAAAGCCATTTATTTGTTATAAATGATGTTCGACTTGGAAAATTTTTTGTAAGCTCAATATTTTGTATTTGTATTTTGTACTAATGGCAAAGTTATTTAAGACAATGTGTTGTTCTCTCTAATTTTGAGCCAATGATCAGAGAGAGGGCAGCCTACCATCCACACTAAGGGATTGACTATTACTCTTCTAATGCATCGACAGCTTAAAGTGCTGGGAATACCTTAGATATCGCATGGATTCGAACCAGGCTCGCCAACCACATAGGACTACAACAAAACTGTATGCCCCAGTATTGTATATAAGTGTATGATATTCAGTCACATCATATGTGTTCTGCAAAGTTTTTTTATTTTATTTTATATATATATATATTACGTGCTCTCTACCGGTCACACACACGATTGTGCGAAAGCGAAATGAGACTGTAATTTCTGTATTTCTTTTGGTTAGCATAAAATTAAAGTGTAATTACCTTGTGTCACCATCTTATTTTATTATTCATTTAAGGAATCTTGTTTACTTTTGTTTTAAATTCCAGTTGGTTTGTTTGATTTTGATGTTTTGTTTTATGTATTGGAATGTTGTACCGCATTAGGGAGCGGCATATAATCAATATGTTATCTCTGTTGAAATTGAAAATTATGTTATGTTTTCAATGTTAGTGTTTTTATTCTATTTTGCTTTCCTTTTGTATTTTATTTTTATGTTGTTGTTTTTGTGTTAGCCAGTCCATTCTTAAAATGGGCAGGATATCTCCGTGTTTTTCATTTCTTTCCATTTGTTATTATTATTTTAGTTTATGTTTATGTCAGTATGTACTTGCGCATTACGTTTTACATGTTAAAGAGTATGTCGTGTTTGTTATGCTCACTTTGTTCGTTTGTTATTAAACAGAATGCTATACAATAGGCTGTTTTTTAGCATTTTAAAAATTCAACTTTGCTGATGAACTATGGGGCTATATGTTAAAGAGTATATTCTTGTGATTATATAATGTTACGACAGAGGAAGTCACGTGACCCTGATAACACGTCATGAGTTTCTAGAAGGATCATGACTGTTCCTGGCAACAATAGTCTTTTCTAGGCGCCCTCTATTTTAGTATATAAGCCCGGCAAATAAAGCGGAGATATAATTGCAAATAGACATATATAGAAACAGAGTCAAGCGAGCGGTAGTAAAG